ACGCAACTAGACTAAAAAACGAGCTGGACTGGTCCCTTAGAAAACGTGTCGGGTGTCTGTAAGAAGCGTTCACAGGTTAGTTGATTAATTATTATTTTGTTTGTGAGAGTTCAATTTATACAAATATCATTTTTCCATTTTTATGTTTTTTTGTTTGTTTATAACATGTGCATTGTTCATGTATTCAACAAAAATCGTTTCATGCTGTAAACAACACCGATAAAGAAGTAAATTAAAACATAAGAAATTATGTGTTGTCTTTTTGTGCTGAGATTTTGATTTTGTGTATTCAGAACGTGCATTAGGGCCTTGTTGAATTTACTAACATTTTCCTACCCTGACGAGAGAATATCCTAGGAAATTGAGAAAAATCAATCTAGAGATATTAGCTCAAAAACAACTATAGCTGTGAGTTACCGTAACCAGGGACCTCAGTACCTGCCACAGATGGGCTAACTAACCAAAAACTCTTCAGTATTGAATATAGGTAGTGTTGATTGAATGTAGTGTGTGTAATTGAAATTTTAGCACAAGAACAGGGGCGGTACCTAATTTAAACTTTTATTGACTTAAATTATTGAATTAATGAAATGACTAATAATTATTATTGAAATGACACAGTATGATTCGATTTTTGAGGAATGTTAGATCGAGGGTTTCTCTGTCGTGCTCTTCCCCCTCGTTAGTTCCAGGATGAGTACGATTTACTTTAATAATAAAGTAGACGTTTCACAAATTTTCCGTTCCTTTTACATAGGTATCACAACTTCCCTTAAATTTCTCAAATATTCACTATGTCGGGCGCATGTCCAGTAAGTAAAATTGAGTAAGTTTCCACAACGTAGGTCCTATATGTTTTTCATTTTATTTTTCAGAAGATTTGTTGTTAAAAGGTAATAAAAATTCTCATCATTCAATCTTACTGAACGAACACGGGGTATGTTATACTACACTTCAAAAAACTAATTTTAAGGAACAACACAAAAAGTTTCTTAAATCCAATATTCCACTATGCGGGCTATCATCTGATAAGACTAGCCTGTGATAGAGCAAGTGGTGGTACATCTATCTTTGTATCTGACGATTTTTTTTTATAAGATTTGTTTATTAACATCAATCTCGAAGTGATTGCTGAATGCTGTCAACGTATTGTGTCCAACATTGATCGCCATTTGTAATATTTACATGCCCCCTTATTACTAAAGGACAATTAGAAAATTTACTTAGTCAGCTACCTTCATCATTTATAAATACAGGTGACTTTGATACTCACAATGGGGATCAGAAAGTACTAATAGGAAGACGAATTCTAGAAGATAATAAGAAGCTAGGGTTCCTGGAAAGATAATTTTAGTACTATTACTTTAACACATCTTCAGACTTCAAAACAGGTCTGGACTAAATTTAGACAAATGCAAGGTAAATACACGAAGCATAAAATACCTGCAATAAAGTTGGGAAATCAAATAATTAATAATAACAAATCAATGGCAGATGCTCTTGCTGACTAATACCAGTTTAAATTAAAACACGATATTGCTCGTAAGAATTTCCAACAGGCTCCTGCTATATTCAGACGCTCTTCATCTACCCTTTTCCACCATGGAATTGACTGAACATCTACACACATGTGAAAACACCGCTGATCGACCAGACGATATACATATACCAGGGCCCGTATTCTCGTCACCGGGGAACAGCGTTCTCTCAAGAGAATGATTGTTCTATCTTAGTCACACATATTGTTATTTCCATAATACTGACAAAGACAGAGCAATCGTTCTCTTGAGAGAACGCTGTTCCCCGGTTACGAGAATACGGGCCCAGGTGTCCCACTATAAGGTCGGCCAGGTACGATATTATTGAAACCATAGACCTTAAGGCTTCGGGTTTTTTTTTTCTTCATTAAATCGGCCAAGAGAAATTGATGGAAATTATTTTCAAGTTTCTAGGATGACCGCTAGGGGGCGCAATCTTCAGTAATAAGGGTGGGGGAAGCTGGTGAATTTTTTTTTTTTAGAAATTGCTGTATCTTCCATACCCCTCATTCAAACTCATTCAATTTGGGTTTATTTGGAAGAGAATTTCATTGTTATTAAGAACACCACTTCGTTCGAGGTCGATATTTCCCACCGCGTCTGCTAGAGGGCGCTGTTTATTCAAGATCCAGTTTTTCCTAATTTTCATGAAAAATCCAAATGGCATAATATTATTTATGTCCGATTGACCTATAAAGTGCTATTTATAGAACAGTTTTGCGTCAATGAAGTAGCACTTTATTGTACTAGTAAAATAAAGTGCTACTTTATTGCCTACCTAGACTACCTGACAAGGTGAAACAGGTCCTGATAACCTGCCAAGGTGAAACAGGTCCTGACAACCTGCCAAGGTAAAACAGGTATACCTACGCGAATTTTACTTTTTTCATTAATTTTTTTCAATTTTTAACAAAAACCAGTCGCAATCGTACATAAAATAATGTATATAACGCTTACATAAACAGGCTTTATTGACTCATTATTTAATAGCCTCGCTCGCAAGCTCACTCGGCCATAAAATTATTCGTACAATAAAGCCTTACTTTATGTACTTGTTATATAAATAGCTATTTTGTATTGCTGTGCTAAAGGAGCAAAAAAATATCTACATTTTGGCGCAAACCGCAATTCAATATCTGCATTCGTTTTCAAGTTACGTGCGGTCTATGGTCTCCATAATATCGTACCTGGCCGACCTTAGTGGGACACCCGGTACTTACCTACCCTTAATTTTTCTGAAAAATCTATCTTGATCTAGCCTACAAAAACTTGGAATGGACCTTTCTCATGCAATGAACAACAAGGATAGTTTATTAAGATTTCTGCAATAAAGAAAAAGACACATATAATGACGCGCGATACCTGTGTGGAATGACTTTGATTGGTTCCACTTGTCAAATTGTGCAATTTCGGTTATGTTTCTGTTTTTGTTTATTTTTAAATGTAAATATGACAAAATACGTATTAACATTAATTAGAAAGAAAATCCACCGCAGCAAAAATATTTGCAGCAAACCTTTATTTGTACATTATTATTGTATTTGATATAAAAATCGTTATTTTACGAACCCTCAAATCTCTGTCCCAACCTAAATCGTCTTCATTCGGGTTGAGAGCACGTAACTACTGTTTTCTTACAATTTGATTGCTTGGGAACTTGTGAAAAGGAAGGTTTGACTTCTTTTTCGCCTAATTCTGACAAGAACTTATTCAACTCATTGGAACCATTGTATCATAAACAGTTTTTGTAATAATTTTCAGCAATATTGATTGAATATTGATTGATACTGATTGATTATTGAGGTTAGCTTAAATACGTCAGGGTCAGACCGTGTTCAGTAAATTGACGATTTAATTATCTGTCACCCACAAGATGCGCGCGCAGCACAGGTAAAATGAGAAAGGTCCATTATAAAATAAAATTTGGACAAGTCATACCTTTCCATCACAATGGCACGTGTCATCAAAGTATTTTGCCATTTCGTAAAGGGTACTCTACTACGCTTGAACCAAGCTTCTCTCGCCCTATATCTTTCAGTCAGGTTTTCGTCCGCATCGTGGTACACTTGACAACAAGTTATTCTGTAGTGAGAAGTTGCCAATGCTTTTGCTTTGAAACAAGAAGTGGGTGAATATTAAAGGAGCTTCCGATGCTACCTGACCTGGAGACCCTTAATCATTGATAAGTTACAGTCTATCTGGAAATATTATCACAAAGAACTGCTTATGTCTTTTCAAATGGTGTAATGTCCAGGCAAGCTATATTAGAAAATGGAGTTCCTCAAGGATCTCAGTCCTACTTTGTTTAATTTGGATACAAACAGATCTGCTCAAACACAAGTCTTCTAGTTAAATCAATACTTTTTGCTGATGATCTCCTCTAGGTACTAATCTGGACGGGAATTGAATACCCCATGTAATATACTTCAAAATGCATTAAATGGAATCTCAACCTGGGCTGCTAGACTTTCTTTAAAAGACGTAGATATCAATACAGGCAGTCAATAGTTATAAGTATTTGGGTTTAATTTTCAAATTGAAATATTTAGCTCATCATCAATGGTGTGCTGGCCAAAGAACTCTTTCATAGAGCCCTCTTACGATCTTAGCTAGACTATGGAAGTATAGTTTACTTTACAGTAAGATCTACGACACTGAAAACACAGCAATTTGATCTGCCTAGGAGCTTTTAGAACGAATCCAGTTGACTCTTTATATTGTGAGTCTCAATAACTTCCTCTCCAACTTCGTTGAGAAATGCTTCTCCTTTCATACACAACCACCGTATATGCAAATCCTGTTAATAACCTGCTGAATAGAATTCCGTTGTATACTCAACATACTCCTAGAAAACCTTACTCCTACCCACAAATGTTGCAAAATACCCTTCCTGATCATGATGATTTTCCTGAATTATACCCTTACTCAACTCTGACTTCTCCACCATGGTCCTTAATGCGACCTACTATCAATACATAATACTTCTAGTTCATGACTTAAGAAAACTTTCCATATTCCATTCTTCAAGTTATGATGAAGTTTTGTATACCGATGCAACCAGTGTTAGTTGTGTAGTTACAAAATCCAATATTACTTTCGCCCAATATACGCTTTCGAGTTATTGTACCTAGTGCATACACCGGTGAACTGGAATACTATCTGCCCTTCGATTAATCTCAGATACAGGTAACGTAACAACATTGCGATCAGGTACTGATTCTCTATCGTCCATTCACTCTATATTATGTAACACATACGACGAATCCATTAGCGCAACAGATATAGTCCATTCCAAATTATTTCGTTGACTTCTCGGCTATAAAACCCTGCTATAAATTACCTTCCAATTAGCCTCTTTTGTATATAGGATTAGGAACAAGGTTCCTTAAACCCACTCAAAGGTTTACAGGTACAGATTCTGTGGTTATTCATTATAATAAAAAGTATTTAATAATAATATTTATTTTTGTTATAATCAATAATTTGGTCACAATTTGGGCATATCTTTGATAAAGGAATTTTGGTTAATTTTATATATTATTTAAGTAAAAAAAAAAACTTATGACAATAATTACAAATTAAGATTGGAGAATACCCATTTTACTTACATTAATTTTATTGTTAAATTTTTCCTGGACATTGTAATAAAGCAAAATAACTAAAAGTATAGGTAATGCATTTATAAAAAAGTTTTTTAGGAGTATGGATCTTTCCTAAAACACTTGATCGTCAATTGCAAAATACCAAAACCGACTTCCGTTAGAGCGAGCAATACGGTCAAAGAATTGAGGATATGTTCCAACTTCAACACAGGATTTTGTATGAAAAACGTATAGACCAATCCAGATATTGTTATGAATGTGAAGAAAACTGCGATTCCCGTGACTAGATCTGAAAAACAACCAATCAAATATACATTGCGTGTTCCGATAAAAATTAAAAATCAGCCGTAACCACCATTCAAACAGATTTTTGAAAATAATTCTCCATAAATCGGTTTGGCTCGGGCTGTGTCTTTTTATATTAACACACGATTTTACTATATTAACACATTTTTGCTAATAATACTAACTTCTTTTTTCCTCCTTGAATCTCCTATAAAGTAGTATTTTCGTGAGTTCGCAGGTAAGTCGAGTGAACACGACAATGGCATCCTGGCCAATATACGGAGTGTCGACAAAAACACTTGCGTACTTTGCTATAGTCATGGCGGTTTCACAAGTGGCGAAAATTGGGAAATAGAACATGTTCAAATAGATGAGACACTCGAACATCAATTCGGCGTCGATGTCCATCTCGCGGCTGCGAAAAGTAATGCGTTTTTTCACACACTAGTTCGAATTAAACGTTTATCCATTTTCACAAGAAAACTGATCTATTTTTGTATGTGGATCGTATGTTTAATGTCTTTTATATTTATAGACGCTTCAGTCAGCCGTTCGACGCACCGCACGCTTCGCTTATAAATCGGTAATGAATTAATATCTTTTATGAAGCCAGGTTCATTTTATTAAAAATTGATTACCTACCTACACAAAGTCTATTTTTTAACGCGTGTTTTAGTATATTTTGTAGCCATAATATTGTCACGGATTCCGGGTCCCCTAAAACTCATTTCACAACAAATTTTATATTTTATTTGCAATCATATATGTAATCTTGTCATTACTGACTTTTTAAAAATTTGGAAGTGACACTTTACCTGTGTCACTTCCCTCTTCGATTTCCCTCACCGATTTCCCTATTCGACTTCCCTCACCGATTTCCCTCACTCTAATTTATTTACCTTTGCTGGCAACAATGAGAACATGTAAGGTAAAAACGTCAAAGCAGCGAATGACACATTTTGGCATGTTTGTTTTATTTTTTTAATATTAAAAAAATTGATTGACTAATCATAATTAATGGTGTGCTTGCAGATAAAATAGTATACAAACCTTGGAGGGAAGTTTTCATTTCTGTCTCGAGATTATTATTATTATATAAATCTCTCGACAGTAATGAAACACTTCCCTACTCGGTATGTAATATACTATTACAAATTTGACTTTATAAAAATTTGCTTTTCACTTATCGAAACGTCGGAACGTATACAACCGATCTCGTATTTGAAGTACCTAACTAAAACAAAATCTTATAGACTGTGAGAGTACTAGGGTACCTACCGTTGAGAGGAGTATTTTTTTTTTCTGTCTGGCATTTTGAATGCTGAATGTGGCTAGTTAGCTGATGAAATTAGGGTGGTTTTAATGCCTGCTTCGGTTCATTTGGAAAATGGATTTCCATTTACATGAAATCAATGAACTATAGTCAAAAACTGGAATGCGCACACATTGCCATATCCGCCAAAAAAATGTAGCCATGAAAGACAGATGCCACAGAGGGGAATGTTGTTTTTTTCTGTTGCTCGCTGACATATGACGTTTTGGAAAGTTTTGTCATATTTACCTTCACAGGTTTCATCAATTGGAATACGTGTTGGAAGCAATTTTCGCCATGTAACATAATGAGTGCGACAAAAACAGGTATCCCCTCCGCAGCAGCGGCACTAGGCTTCAGGTTCGTCAATATGTGTTAGCATTCCAGTTTTTGGTTATAGTTCATTGCATGAAATATTTTATTTTTTTAAAATCTTAAATTACATATTGTCTGGCATCAGGGCCGTAGCGATATGACTACCTCTAGGGGGGGAGACTGAGATCCGGCGCCCCCTAAGCGCCGCAAAGCCAATTTTTTTTGCAACTTTGACAGACTTCAAAACCTAAACGGTTAATTTTAGACAGGAGCAAAACCGAGCTGAAGTTCTTATCTTAGATTTTCATATATTATCATTTGATACCATATTGATGCCAACTTTGAAGTTGCGAGATATTATGGCATTATTAAATGATGAATTGCAAAGACCAACCCAAAGACATGCCGCAGTACCAGTAGGAATTCAGGTACCTAATTACCTATATAATTAAATAAATACATGTGTATATATTTTTTCCTACGACCTCATAAGAAAATGACAAAATTCGCACTAGCTGGTACTTTGGAAAGCACTAAATATCACACGCGTGCTGAAAGTACTTTCAATACGCGTGCTAAAAGTACTTTCAGCACACGTGTGAAAAATACTGTTGACATTAGTATATATATTTTTTCCTACGACCACATAAGAAAATGACAAAATTCGCACTAGCTGGTACTTTGGAAAGCACTAAATATCACACGCGTGCTGAAAGTACTTTCAATACGCGTGCTAAAAGTACTTTCAGCACACGTGTGAAAAATACTGTTGACATTATTTGTGATTGACATGACAATTTACTTTCAATACGTGGATTGAAAGTACTTTCAGCACGTGTCTTGAAAATGAAAAGAAATAAAATAAGAGAAAATTGATGTAAATAGGTTTCTGGTCGTAGGAAAAATGGTGTACATCACTCGTAAGAAAGCGTCTTTCATACACTCGTGTGATTTTCGCACTCGGCTGTCGCCTCGCGCGAAATAGAAATAACACTCGTGTGAAATTTGTCACTTTCTACACTCGTAATGTAATATACTAATGTATGTGTATATGATTACAAATTTTATTATACACGGTGTATATTTTATGTTATACCACTATTACTATATCCGAAAAATTAGAAAAAAGTTGCATTCTTTGATGCTCATTCCTCATTTAAGACTCGCTAACTGTGTCGCCAAATTCCTTTTAGTTTATGAAATGTCGTTGCCCAATATCCAGAGGGATTTCTAAGAAACGCCTAAAAATATTTCCTCAATTATTTCGAAATTAATTGATTTTTGAGACACAATTTAGATTTGAAAGTTTTATAACTTTTTTCAGTCTACAACATGGCATCTTCAAATTTAAAATCCGACGTTTCGTGAGCCACCATCATCAACTTAATTTTTTTAAACACAGATTATAGGCAATAGGCAACTTTTTTCTAATTTAACTAACTTTGTAGCTCTTACCGTTTCGGATATAGCAATAGTGGTATCATTTGAAATATCCACCCTGTATAGATCTAAATGTGTCATGGTTTGTTGCACATTCATAGGTCCGTATCATCCACCTATTCAAAAAAAACTGTTTCAGATCCTTGCGTCCATAAGGCTTTTGGCTAGTGGCAGTTTTCAAAATGTTGTTGGTGAGAGTCTTTTTCACCAAATCAGACAGCCTACGGTTAGCAAAGTGTTTAATAGTTTTTTAAATGCACTTGTTGGTCCTGCAAGGGAATTCATAACTTTGCCAACAAATCAGGAACAAATAGCAAACATCAAATTGGGATTTCAGGAGCGACTTCAATTTCCTGGATGTTTGGGATGCATAGGTTAGTGTGAATTGTACCTCTATTCTACTACGTACTCAAGCAAATTTCATTCTTTTTTCAGATTGCACCCATATTTATATACAAAGGCCAAATGAAGAACATTGGAACGCCTATTTGAACAGAAAAGGCAGGTTTTCCATAAATGTTCAAATGGTATAAATCTTTCACATAACTATTTGGCTTTTATGGATTGTTATATTTTTAGGTTTGTGATAGTAATTTTAAGATAACCAATGTCGTTGCCCAATATCCAGGAAGTGTTCATGATTCTTTTATTTATAATAACTGTGCTTTAAAACGTTTTTTACATTCTCATGCGTGCCCACCTAACTCCTGGTTGTTGGGTGACAGTGGCTATCCCCTAGAACATTGTTTACTAACTCCAATCAAAGTTCCCAATAATGAGATGCAGGAGAGGTACAATGCAGCCCATAGACACACTAGAAATATTATTGAAAGAGTTTTTGGTATCCTCAAATCAATGTGGAGAATTTAACACGATTCTGGTGGAAATCTGCTATAAACTCCTGAAAAAGTTGTGAAGATTATACTGTGTTGTTGTGTACTGCATAATATTCGAAGGGATCACAATTTTCCGATTGAATATGATCACATGGACATTCACGAAGAAGCACACGACGATTTTTATGATCCTAATGAAAACAATATTGACCAAAGACGAGGTGAAGGAGTTAGACAACGTTTAATTAATAATCATTTCAATGTCTAAGCTGCCTGAATAAATCGTTCCACAATGTACTGTACTAAAATATTAGTAAGTCTATAGTAGATGTTATTGTTCAACATTAATCTTTGCCTTTTCTTTTAGATCTTAAAATAAAGTTACTTATCCAAAGATTTTGTTTTTTTTCTTTATCATCTTGTTCCTACAGACTTTAGCTTTTTTCAAATAATATGTTTTAACATGCAAATTTTTATTCTTCTTCACTGGCCTCAATGTGATGCAATTAACAAAAACACAGTATCAAAATAATATGGAGTAATTAAAGTTTCATTATATAACACAAAATAAATTTATTTCAATTGGGTATTAACGAGGGTATTAACTACATAACATATATGTTATAGATTGGTGCTTGAAGAGAACGGTCGTGTTTTATCGTGCGAAAATTGTTTATTTAGTTTTAAAGCAAAAAAGTATAAATATATTTTAAGCAAGTCTATAGCATTTATCTAAAGTAGTTTTTGTTGTGAGTGAATATTTGAATACAAAACAATAGTCCAAGAAACGGAGATCTGAAAAGAGGGGTTACCTCAACATAATTAGAAGTTGAAATTTTTTTGGGGGGATCGGTTCATTTTAATATGCTAAACAACATATTAAGTTTGCGACCTTGTACTTCCATAGGGTTTTCAGTTAGGGGTGGTTTTTAGGGGTAATTTGCGGTTTATGGAGAACGCTGCTCAAAGGGATGGGCCAATAGTAAAAAGTTTCAAATGAATGTTGTAGCTGAAGTTTTTTGCTATAAAAAACTCAGCGACAGCACCCCTCTATCTTCTATAGTTTTTTTTCTGCAGCTTCTTGAATAGTAGCATGTTTTTGTTCAAGGTCACTGAATCAACGTTTTGCCATTTTGCGCGCATTTGTTGCAGCAGCGGCCGAATGCATAATCCGATTTCAATTTTTCAAACACCACATTATTTCTAATGAAATGCACTCTCCAATGCTTTTTTGTTCGAATTTTTTGCTTGAAAATTAAGCGAGCACGGACTTGTCTAATGTGCGAGGAAGTTGTAAATTGCATCGAAAACTACCCCTTTCTTGCATTCACTCTAATTTCTAAACGGGGCCAAATATTTGGTGACAGTTTTCGACAATCGGCAGCCCATTTATTCCTCTCATATTGCCCCAGCGGATTTTTTGTTTCGTTAATTACTCAATGACGTATTGGCCTGAACACGTCGCGCGGAATTTTTCAAAAAGTTGAAAAAAATTAAAATCGTCGTACGGCGCTGAAATTTGGTACGATGGCTTTTTTTATTGTTTTTATGAATATACTGAAATTTTAATTGCTTCACATGATATAAAATTGCAGTATAATCATGAGAACAATAAATAAAGCCATCGTACCAAATTTCAGCGCTATGCGACAATTTTAATTTTTTTTTACTTTTTGAAAAATCGCGCGCGACGTTTTCAGGCCAATAAGTCATTAAGTGATTAACGAAAAAAAAAATCCGCTGGGGCATTATGAGAGGAATAAATTGGCTGCCGATTGTCGAAAACTGTCACCAAATATTTGGCCCCGTTTAGAAATTAGAGTGAAGCAAGAAAGGGGTAGTTTTCGATGCAATTTACAACTTCCTCGCACATTAGACAAGTCCGTGCTCGCTTAATTTTCAAGCAAAAAATTCGAACAAAAAAGCATTGGAGAGTGCATTTCATTAGAAATAATGTGGTATTTGAAAAATTGAAATCGGATTATGCATTCGGCCGCTGCTGCAACAAATGCGCGCAAAATGGCAAAACGTTGATTCAGTGACCCTGAACAAAAACATGCTGCTATTCAAGACGCTGCAGAAAAAAAACTATAGAAGATAGAGGGGTGCTGTCGCTGAGTTTTTTATAGCAAAAAGCTTCAGCTACAACATTAATTTGAAACTTTTTGCTATTGGACCATCCTTTTGAGCAGTGTTCTCCATAAACTGCAAATTAACCCTAAAAACCACCCCTAACTGAAAACCCTATGGAAGTACAAGGTCGCAAACTTAATATGTTATTAAGCACATGAAAATGAACCGATCCCCCCCAAAAAATGTTAACTTCTAATTATGTTGAGGTAAACTTCCTTTATTGCTTGGACTACAAGGCGATGGGCATTTTTACAGATCGACAAAAAAATGAGCTGCAAACCATTATCAAGGATGTTTTGAAAACTACTATCGAGGATAGGAGTTTTTGCGATGCTTTAGCTGATAAGTTGTGCTCAAAAATATCTGAACAGATAAAAAGCGAATTATCCGATATAAAAACTAAACAACAGGTATTGGATGAGGACATAACTGAGCTGCAAAATGAAAATAAAAAAGTCTTAGAAAAACTGGATGAAGTTGAGCAGACATTGAAACTTAAACAGATCAGAGTGTATGGAATCGCTGAAAACACTACTGGCAAGATCGAAGACGAGCTCAAAAAGGTTTTTGATGATAAGCTGGAGGTGAAAGATGTTAAAATTGAATATTGTTATAGAATTGGTCAAAAAAGTGACACAACACCAAGACCTGTTCTGGTCAAATTTTTAAATACGTTTGATCGAAACAAGATCTTTTTTAACAAGAAAAAGCTTAAAGGCAGTAAAATCTCGATAACTGAGGAGCTAACAAAAAAAAGGTACGAGCTACTGGTGCTTGCAAAAGAGAAGCTTGGAAAAGAAAACGTATGGAGTATTGGAGGTAAGGTATTTTGTAATATGGCTGGTACGAGGAAACGATTAATGAGTGAAGAGGATGTCATCTCAATATCGGAGGAAAACTGAGTTGGAAGTTTGTTTTATCTTTCTTAAAATAACAGAAATTCTTGTAATTTAATATGGAGCCATATATTTTGGACTTTCAAATTGATAACTACAAAACCCAAATATACACTGATATTAATAGTTTTAATTCAGTTTCTTTTAAACATGATAGTTTTAAGATTTTTCAGTTGAATATATGTAGTGTACACAAAAACTTGGACAAACTTTTGATTCTTCTATCTCAATTAAAGGTTTCGTTTGATTTACTTGTCCTTACGGAAATATTCCATGTTACTGATCTGAACCTTATAAAAATTGATGGGTATAACACTTTATACAATAATGGAACTTGTAACAAGAATGACGGGGTACTTATTTATATCAGTGACAAATTTACATATCAACATCAAATTAAGCAACTTTCGAACATAAATATCGTTGATATAGATATTTTTACTCTACAAAATGTTTCATTAAAAATTACTGCAGTCTATAGGCCACCGTCAACAAGCATCGATGTGTTTGACCAAGATTTGTTACATTATTTAACTGTAGTTAGTTAATAAGTCGGATTTACATGTTATTTGTGGGGATATTAACATTAATATTCTGGAATGTAAAGAAAATGAAAGTTATGTACAAGACTATTTAAATATTTTAAGCTCTAATTCATATAAATCGTACATTAATAATGTTATTACGAGAGAAAGAAACGATCAAAAATCATGTCTTGATCATTATTTTGTCAAATCATCGGGATCTGAAGTTATAAGTGCATATTTATTAAAATATCATATTACAGATCATAATCCAACCATATTAGAATTAAGTATACCCACGACTGATCACATGATAGCACAAAATACATACAAAGACTATGTCAACTATAAGGACCTAAAACATGATGCTTTATTGATAGATTGGGAGTCATTTCATGACTGTCAAGATCTCGATGAAATGACTCAAATTCTGATAAATAATATCACAAATATTGTACCTACAAAAAAACACAAAAAAGGTTAAAATTAACAAAAACCACGCCCCTCGAAAACCTTGGATTACAAAGAGTTTGACAAAATCGATTAATCACAAAAACAAAGTATACCAAAAAACGAAAATCAATCCAGATAATTTAAATTTAAAGAAACAATATCAACAATGTAAGAAAAGTCTTGATAAATCAATTGCTGCATCAAAAAAAATGTTTTTTCAAAAGTTAATAACGGGTCAACAAAATAGTAGACAACTTTGGAATTCTGTAAATAAAATATGTAATAAAAAAGATAATGGTTACGATAAAATTCGAAAGATTAATTCAGATGGTGAAGAAATTTTGAATAAACAGGAAATAGCCAATATCTTCAATAAACACTACTGTTCTTTAGGAGAAAAATATGCAGGTAAAATTAAAAAACCCAAAGGTGTAATTGAATATGAGGATTCATTTCCCCACTCTACAAGAACGGCGACAAGTCAGATATTGTTAACTATAGACCAGTCTCACTTATTTCAAACATTAGTAAAATTTTTGAAAAAGTAATAAAATATAGAGTTATAAAATTTCTAAAAAAATATATAATATCTGATCATCAATATGGGTTCATGGAAGGCCGATCGACGGAGGACGCAATTGCTGGACTCACATCGCAAATCTATAAAAATCTTGATGAAAGCAGGCCAGCATTGTGTATCTTTGTCGATTTGGCAAAAGCATTTGACACCGTGTCGCATAAACTATTAGGTACTGGAAAAAATTTGGAAATATGGTTTAAGAGGTAAAACATATGATTTAATTAAAAGTTATTTAAATGAAAGAGTTCAGTATACAAAAATTGGAAGTAAGCTTAGTGCTCCCGGTAGTGTGCGATACGGTGTTCCACAAGGGACGGTATTAGGTCCGATTCTCTTCATTCTTTACATCAACGGATTGCTAAGAAGGAAGATGGCCGGACAGATACTTAGTTTCGCAGATGATACGGTAATTTTATTTGATGGTAAGAATTGGGAGGATGTCAAACAACAAGCAGAACGAGAGTTTTGTAAAATAAAAAATTGGTTTGATCAAAATCTGCTAACAGTAAATTTCTCGAAAACCAAGTGTATGTTGTTCTCTAATCAGGAACAGTCAGAGGAAAATGCCAATGGTCTAAAAATCGACAATTTTGTAATTCCTGCTACAAAAACCATTAAATATTTGGGAATAGTTTTAGATACTGCTTTGCGTTGGGATGCTCATGTAAACTATGTTGTCAAAAAAATTAGAGGAATACTACCTAAACTTAAGTATCTTGGGGATTTCCTTAAAATTGACCAACTAAGAATATTATATTTTTCACTTGTACAAACACATATTACATATGGAATTATTGGTTCGGGAGGTGTTTTAGATTGCCACATTAAAAGTTTAGATATTATCCAAAAATGGACCTTAAAAATAATATTTGGTAAACACAGACTGTTTCCAACAGATGCATTATATAAAATAAGTAATATTATGGATGTAAGACAGCTTTTTTGTTTCCGCATGCTTTTAAGATCATTCAAAAATCCCACTGAATGTTTATCAAATGCAGGTACTAATAATTATAATACGAGATCGATTGATAATGTTGTTGTGCCTAGAGTCAAAAAGGCTTGTGGTCAAAGAAGCTGTCAATATCTGACACCACGGTTATTTAACATATTAACAAGGGAATTGAAATCTATAAGAGTATTGTGTAGTTTTAAGAGAAAGCTTAGTGAATGGATTTTAAAAGTTGTTTCGCGAGCTTATATGGGTGACTTCGTTAATCAAAAAATGAACAGATATTGATGAACATCTAGTGAATCAGTGAAAGAAACTGCCAAACAAATGGACACACTTTTGTGCTTATTTCGGCAGGACACACGAACGTTTATTAGTAGATATATAATTACTTTCTTATTACTTCTTTGTGCAAATTTATTTTCCTTAATAAACGTCTTATTTATTATTATTTATTTATTATAACACAATTTTTACAGGGTGTTAGTTGAGATTAGAAATTGAACTTCTTTGTTCTTTAAAACAACAAGTTTTCTAAGAAGACAGTTTGTAACTTTCATTTCTCGTAAAATATTAGTTTGGTTAGTCAGCACATCCCTTAAGACTGGTTTTTTTAGTGGTGGCTGGGGTTGCGTCAGTTTTCTTTTCTTTCCTATTTTATTATCTTTTATTTTCGATGAGTTTGATGTGATTCGCATCTCAGTTTTATGTGTGGCCAACATGATTGTGTCCTCTTTTGTCAACATGGTTGATGCCAGGTCTTGTTCGATTTCTGTTTCTTGTACAATATTATCAATGGGTTTTGGCCTTGCAAAAGTATCAATCCCTTCCTTCAAACCACTCACTACAATTGTACCTATAATTGCCAAAACCCTTTACTCCAAATCGGCGAGGCATAATTTTGATGGCCCTCCGCCCCCTGTCTCTTCTCTTGTTTCGTTTTATTTCAGCAGCTTTTTTTTTAACTTTTGTTTTCATGTCAGAAAACTTGTTTTTTACTTCTTTACCAGTTCTGTTAAAGCACTCGGTAGCATTTATTTTGTTTGCAATTTCATCCCATTTATTTCCCATATCCAAAATACTTCTATACTTTTTACCAAGCTCACCTACAAAAAGATTTGCTCAATGATTAATGAGATAACATTCGCACACCCCCGCAACACAAGTAACCAAAACATCTAAAAAATACCTACCTCTTGCTAGCTCTGGGTCTGTTTCAATTTCGTCTACCAATATATTAGTTTCTCTCTGTGTAAAATTTGGCCTGCGAGTTTTATCAATTGTTTGTTTTATGCGATCCATTTTAACAAATGTGCCTTTTTTGTGTGAAATACATAAGCCGATTATAGGAAATAAACAATTCGCCAACAACAAACCATAGAGCAACAAACCTTCAAAAGAATGAGGTTAGAATTGATATTTTGACAAGTTTGAAATTTCACAATCGTTAAATGAGTGGCTCCCAAACAGTTTTTTCCTGATAAATATGGCCGACTTACCGATCCGGTCTGTAATATGCTCGTTCCTGCAAGTAGAGTATGGCTGCAAGTCGGCCATATTTGCAGATCTGCAAATTTACAGATGTAAATCTTTTGTAATTTGGCCCTAGTCAGCAAGAATTCGTTTGCTGCATTTGATGTTTACAAAATCTTGACATCATGAGCGCTGTCATATTGAAATTTCGTGTTTTCGCGCCAAAGTTTTTGATTTGAATTTCAATATTTTTTTTTTCGTAGAATGTATAAATTAAAATGGAAAAACAGAAAACTATGTAATATCTGATGACTAGAAGTATCTAAAAAAAAATAAATTAAGAAATATGAAAATTCCCTATGCATCTGCGAGCAAAAGGAGCGAATTTTGACGGACGTCACGTGATCACTTATCCACCACTTATCTTTTTTCACGTGTCAAATGACGTGACTTCTGTCAAATTTTGCTCATTTTGCTTGCAGACGCAATAGGGAACTTTACAATTTTTTTTTTATTTTTTTAAGGGAGTGAATTCTGCGCCTACCGGTAGGTCCTGTTTGTTTCATTCATTGTGTGCCTACCGTATGTATAACGCTAAAACATTATGGAAGGTCCCCAATTACCACATGATATAACGCCTATCGGTAGGTACTGTTTGTAAAAAAAATCCTGAACCTACCGGTAAGTTCATATTCATTTAAGAATCCTGCGCCTACCTACTTTTTATTAAACTACCTAACCTAACAATCTATAATAACATAAACTACAAAAAGAAGTACCTGCTGCATCTCTGTGATTTTTCTTTAAGTTTGTTTTTTTCATAGTTTTATAGTGTAGGTAAGTGATAAATCATAAACTTAAGCTAGTTCTATCATCGAGATAACTACAGAGCCGGATTTATGGCGGAGCAGCCGGGGCCCTGGAGCCTCCACAAATTCAGGGCCTAGAGTAACTTCAAAATTTAGTCCCCCAGCAGGCCTTAGGAAATATTTTTATTGATTAAAAGTGCATCCACTTTCTTCCTTGCCCTAGGCCTCGACGCCTTTAAATCCGGTTCTGTATAACTACAGAGTCTTCTAGCTACCTGGAATGCAGAAATAATTATATAATAATTTTTAGGCGATTGCAACACAATGTCCACAGTTATAAGTAGTGGAATAGAGTTAGGACAAGAGTATAGTTCCTTTAAGGATCTTAAATCCGATATAGATAGATATGCAATGCAACATTTAGTTCAACTCTACATGCGAGATAGCTTAACTTTGAAAGCGGCACAAAAATCAAAGCCCCACAGAGTAAATGAGGACACCCTGTGCACCAGTATAGTTGCAGAAATAAAATTATTGAGCCAAATTCGAGTAGATATAAGACAAAAAAAAAATTAATTGAATGGGTTGAAAAATGGAAATTTTCGAAGGGTGGTCAGTCCTTAAGCGGGACACACTGTATATCTTGTGACATCGTTATAACTAATTCAAAATAGGCACCTGATATATGGAAATAATAATAAAAATTGTAACAATGAAATTTCGACACGTCAAATTTATTAACGGGACAACGTTAACAACTTCATTGTTTCCATGAGTTTTTGATATTTTTATAAAAATGCAAATTTTGTACCTAATTAATTAGCTAAGATAAAGTATGTCAAACAGGGCTCCAGCTCAACCAAAATGTCATCCTTATACCTACAATATATGTATATTTTTGAAATCAAGAAAAGAAAATCTTTTATTTTAGAGCATAAGATACACGGTCAAGTAGGTACTATATTTAAAAAAAGACTTTGCATGTTTTTGGTGCATTTACGCATCCAAGGATCTTCTTTTTGAGATTTGGCGAGCGCAGAGCGAGCATTCGGAGACTCAAAAATGATTCACAAGAAGGTTGAAAAAAGGTTTTCCACGTTTTTGGGTTATTCACGCTTCCAAGAATCTCTTCTCTCAAGTTTGTCGAGCGGAGCGAGCAATCAGAGACTTAAAAATAATTTAAATTTCAAGCCGTTATATTTAATAAAGGTTTTTCACGTTTCTGGTGGAAGGTTTTTCCCGTTTTTGGTGGATTTACATTTCTGAAGACATTCTCTTTGAGGTTTGGCGAGCGTAGCGAGCAATCTAAGGTATAAAGATAACTTCAAGGTGCGTTCCAGAAGGATTTTGAATAGGTTGCCGTCTGGAATGAAACAGAGCAGATTCCAAACATCAACAAGTTTAAAGCCCAAGATAGAAAGATGTTAGGTACTAGGTACTGATAGAGGCCTATTACTCAGTGGACGAATTTCTTGATGTCAATTCTACAAAAAAACAAAATTTCAATAAAGTATTTAGCAACAGCTGACTGGTAGGATATACGAATTCTAAAGTAATAACAAACTTTCCAGTAGGCGCTCGATCAATTGACAAAAAAGGACCTACCAGTAGGTGCACAATCGGTGGATGAAAAAGAGCCTACTGGTAGGCGTATGATTGTTGGATAACAAAGGACCTACCGGTAGGCGTAGGATTCACTCCCTTTTTTTAAATCATTTATTTACGACTAATGTATAATGTGCGTATTATATTTGTGATTTTGGCAGTATAATGACATATGTTATTCCTCCAGGGATTAATGACGAGTAGCGGGATTAATGGTCATTATTCCACAAAAGTGTCAGTGTCAAACGTGTAGTGCTTGTGGATTTGTATTGAAAATGATGAGACGGATGAAATTTGTTCATTGAAAATCTCAAATAAATTAAGTTGTCGTAAATAAAGTAGAGTATACTACTCGCAATAATGGCTATTATTCCCTCGGAATGTTACTCCCTCGCCGCTAACGCGGCTCAGTTCGTAATAATCCTCGGGAATAATAGCTATCATTATTGACTCGTGGTATAATCTACTATTATTTATGCCTTGAAAGAGTATTCCCCAAATATTATTCCCTAAAACTCAATAATAACTTGGTGAAAAATGTTTAAAGTTTCGCGCGAATTAAAAGCATTTCAAACGACCTTAAATCTGGATGACGTCACGTAGTATGATTTTGCGTTCAGCCGGCGCCACACGATGTGTCCAACCATTGGCCCCAACGTTAGATCCAACGTTGGGTACAGTGTTTTTTGCTCTAGCATTCGGCAAATGCACATATCTACTTACTTTTGTTACTATAAACATATCACAAATTATAGATTGGCGGATTGCCCTTTGGAATTTCCTTCTTCGGTCATAATTAATAGGTATATCATTTTATTTATATAATGCTAGGCTAATCATTGAATTTAAGCGAAGTAAACCAATTCTAAAATTGATAAAATTTTAAAAAATCAGAGAAAAACGTAAATAAACACAGCTAACGGGTATTTATTATGTAGAGTTCGAGTAAACGCTCGGAGTTGCTGTTTTGTTCTTTTATCCCTGTTCTTCTCATCATAAGAAAAAAAGACGGAAAATGCTCCGAGTGCTCAGTGTTTCAAGACGAACTCACGGTATGATGGACGGTTGCTGACAGACATTGACAAATCATACTACATGACGTCACGACCAGTACCAGAGCGTTTTTTCCCGCTGGAAATAATTTGAATTTTTCTGCATTTTCGAATGTAATACCACAAGAGGTTTCAGGATTACCGGTTAATACTTTTACCTGTCACGAAACGCGTTAAAGGTCGTACTTTAGTGCTAGAATGCTAGAGTACAGTCAGCACTCACAGTTCGCCGGGACAGCTAGCTCTGGGACGCGGGCAAAGTTGTAATTTTAAGAAGCATCTAAACTGTTTTCTCAAAGCTCAAAATTTATAGAAATTTTGCACATTATCTGTTTGAAGGTCACAGATAACGTATGTAAAACGTCAGACGTCTAGTTCGTTGCAAAAAGGGGGTCAGACGTTCTCAAAGTTTTTATTTTATGGCATTTTCTTCAAATATATTTTGTCAAATACCTGCAAAAATATATTTTGACAGGACACCGAAGAAAATGCCATAAAATAAAAACTTTGAGGACGTCTGACCCCCTTTTTGCAACGAACTAGACGTCTGACGATTTACATACGTTATCTGTGATCTTCAAACAGATAATGTGCAAAATTTCTATAAATTTTGAGCTTTGAGAAAACAGTTTAGATGCTTCTTAAAATTACAACTTTGCCCGCGTCCCAGAGCCAGCTGTCCCGGAACTGTGAGTGCTGACTGTACACTAGCATTCTAGCACTAAAGTACGACCTATTTTGAAAATATCCGCCTTGCGAAAACTCTTGCATGTTTTTGGCGCCACCTCCTGGACTACTACTCAGAAACTTGCCTTTTGACTTTTTTTTTTTTTTTCACTTTGCCTATTTTGGCGCCCCTGTGTCAGCTGCGCCCTGGGGGGGAGGCTCCCCCCCTATTGGCTACGCCCCTGTCTGGCATTTGAATTTTGGATAAAAGATTGAAATTGATGAATAATTCATCGATAAACAATGCCAGACGGTTTTCAATAGCCGAAAACGTGTGGGATATGAGGGTCAACTTGCAACAGAAAAATCAACTTTTATTTTTGTGTGGTAATCGAGAGAATAAAGGATTTTGTTGTGAGAATAACGCTGAAAATGGTCAAACTGTGATCACAGTTCGAAATAGAGTTTCCCGCCCAAAATTAGGTGGAAATTTCGGAAAATTTTCGGTAATTTTAATTTGTCTGGAAACGTTGGTGTTAAGTTAAAAATAACACATACATTATGATTAATTCTAATTTGCCAGATGGATTGGATATTGGAAAAATGGTGGCATTCATCATATTATTATAAACATTGTCATCGTCATATAGCAGCTTGTCTCTATGTTTCTGTTTGCTCCGTCTCTGGACGCCATTCT